AAGGATGATATGTCTAGGAATAACGGGAGCAATGTCACCTTGCCACACCGCAGCCCTAGAAGCGCTACTCAACATGCCCCCACTTCACCTATGTGTGAAAAAGGAGGAAATAACCAGCGCTAAAACTGGAGAATGCCAGCAAACCAAGTGACCACAGGGTCAGATTGGACTTAGAGATCCCATTCGCAGTGGTAATAAACGACCGCCAATCATGGGAGAATAAGAAATTACCACAAGCAGACAATGCATCTCTGTGATACACAGATGGATCCAAACTAATGGAAGGAGCTGGACTGGGCATTTCCGGCCCTAACTTCAAGCTCTCCAAGGTATTGGGGAAACATCTTAGCAGATGGCCTCACAAAAGAAGGGGCCTCAACATCATACCATGGACCAGAGCCCTACTGTGGCTTAATGAAAAGCTACATTATGGAAGAACTCAACAAATGGGAAAAAGACCAACTGTCATCATATTGGAGGCACACTCCGGGACAGTCAAAAAGGTTTATTACCCTTTCAGCAAAAAGAGTTCCTAAACATAAGCAGACCAGACATCAGATTGGTGGTAAGACTGCTCACAGGACACTGCCTGGTAAAATACCATTTAAGGTTAATGGGCAGAAGACGATCTCTGCAGATTCCGCTCAGACGCAATAGACACCGCAGAGCACCTACTCTGCGAATGTCTAGCCCAATTCTGCAAGAGGCTCAAATTCCTCGAGGGGGCAACACTGTCACCAGAAGAAGTTCTACGCTTCCTGGAGACAACTTAAGATGTAGAGTCATGTACAAAATATCTGCAAAGGTAGCAGTGCTGAGCGGCTGAAAAGCCGAAACGCGTCTCCCACAATCTGCAAGGGGGTATGGAAGTCCAAAGAATGGAAGAGCAACTACTTCCTAATCAAAATGCTCATTTGGACAGAAAGACGAAAAAGAGGAAGACCAAGAAAGAGTTGAAAAGGAGGCGTCGGCAACGAGATTAGAGACATCAGGGTACTGGATATGAGAACCCGTGGAATGACAGTGATCAATGGCGACTGGGAATCGAAAGACATGAAGGTAATTTCTCTGCTAGTCTCTATTAATAGCTGGCGTTGTCCACGAAAATGACGGAACCTTTAGGAATTGATGTTATCATTAAGGCATTTTTAAGCCAGTCCGAAGGCCCTCCACAAATGTCTGGCGAGAATTGTGGACTGCATAACTCAACTGACAGTATATAATTCACAAAAAAAGGTCAAGGAAGCATTGAAAAACATTAAAATGAAACTCAAGTCCGGGACCTGACAATTTTCCAACAATTTTGCTACAAAATTGCAGTGATTCCATTAGTCAAAGACTGTCAAAAATTATGCAGGAGTATATTATAGAATTAGAAAAACTGTCAGATCGTCATATCCCTGGAAGGTGTCGATAGTTACACCACTGTTCAAAAAAGGAGACAGACATAAGGCAAGGAATTACCGCCTTATCACCCTTACTGTAACCCTTAGAAATGTATGGAAAAACTACATATTATGTAATTTAATTCCATCATCAGAACATGGGTTTCTTTTAAAACGCTCAACACCAACCAACTTGCTTGAATGTTTAAATAACTGGACAGAAAACCATGACAATGCTCAATCCACAGACGTGATTTTCCTGGGCTATAAGAAAGCCTTTGATAAAGTGCCACATTAGCTCCTATGTGGAAAGTTAGAGCACTTTGGAGTGCGTGGACAATAGCGGACATTGATTAGAGACTCGTTGGATGAACGATACTACCAAGTACCTACGAGATGGAGAAATGTCAAGCAGACACTTAGTTCAAAGTAGAGTTGTTCAATGATCGGTGCTGGGGTCTCTGCTCTTTATTGAATATTTGATCTTGTTGATCTGACAGAAAAATTTTACTGATGATGGCAAACTTTATGCAAACCTACTACATATACTCAATGCAAATCAACTTCAGGAAGACTTAAAAACGGTTGAAAACTGGTCAGGGATGTGGGGAATGTAACTGGATGGGACAAAATTTACAGTATTTAGAATTGGCCCGAACTTTGGATTGTTCGGGCCAATTCCACGGACACTTGTTGAACAGGACAGTTCTGTCAACCGTAACAAAACAGAGCCAAATATCTAGGAGTCACGGTTACATCAGGCTTAAAATGGAAAAATCACATTGTAAAAATCACAAAAAAAAGCAAGTTCCTTTGTTTAGTTTATCAAACGCCTTCAAAGATCATTCTATTGAGATAATAACAAAGTTATATAATAGTTATTTATGTATCAAGGGAATTATGAGGGTGTTAATGTCCGTGTGTATTAACACCTGATAATTCCCGTGGTACCATCGTCACCAAAAGTAACTGGGACAGCATCACATTAGCTCTTGTCCTATTATATGAATTTTATTGTCAAATATTTGTCAAACTATGAATTAAATGCATTGAAATGAATGACACTAGAATTAGTCCAGGAGATTATTATACATTATTTGTGTCCCAGATACTTTTGGTGTCGATTGTACATAGATAATTTTATTTCCTACTGAATTTACTGTATTTTGTCCATTTTTATAAAGGAATAAACCATAGACCAAAATTTCTATTTTTTGTCAAACTTTCACCTATTCAAGGTAAAAGCGGGAGTTATGGAAATCCTTAACTTCCTTGGGAGTTATGATATCCTTAACTCCCGCGCGGGAGTTATGAAAACTGCCTTGGGAGTTAAGACCCTGTTAATGATTATCGTAACCAAGGTATTATTTGGTTATAATAGTTCAGTAGGAAATAAAAGCTATATCTTTAACCTGATATAGCTGGAAAACGCTTTGACAGTGTAGATCCTCGCCGATTATACTAAAGACATTGAAACACTTGAAAAAATACAGAGAAGAGTAACCAAAATAGCACCAGAGCTACAGAATCTAACTTTCACTGAAAGATTGGTCAAGAATGCAATTGACAACATTAAAAGAAAGAAGACATAGATGGGATTTGATAGAAACAGTCAAAATAACAAAGCGGGTAGATACTATAATTACTATATTAAGCAGACCTTTCACCATAATCAAAACCAAGAGATTCGAGGACATTCAAAGAAACTGGACAAGGAAAAGGCTGCAAGATACCAAAGAAAAAAATTTATAATCAATCGGGTAGTTTACTCCTGAAATGCCTTATCAGAACATACAGTGACAGAGAACTCAAAAATAGTGCAGTTAGGATGAGGATGATTCACTATAGTGCAGAGTAGTGAACAACAACTTCATAGAATAAATAATAGCATCGTCGGTTCGGTTCTATAACGCCTGCTATTGGAAAATCACAAGATTACCTACATTTTTATCTTGCCAGAATTTATTTACTGTGTGTCCTCCGTTTGTTAACCCAGGTTTCCTCCAAGTAATAAATGTGTTTCTTTGTTCTCTTGCGCAGTGTGCACTTTCTATTATCCCTTAGATATTGTCTCCTCCAACAAATTATTTCTTATTTGTCAATCAAAATCGATTTTCTGTTCTGCTTCTCCCAACAAAAGTTTAACTCCTGTAATATTTTCCACAATTTTTCTCTTTCGATCTTATTTAAATAAAACGAATCTACTTTCCTTCTTATTATACTTCTTGCAAGTTGATCAACTTCTAACGCTTTTCTTCCGAGCGATTTTTTAGGCAACTTCACACAGTTATCACTTTTTCTTTCGCTAAGAAGTCTTTGTTGTTTCACTGATCTGTGTCATATTGGCACATGTGGAGACTATACATCGGATCGTACTTGAAGGCATCTGTATACAAATGCATTATATTACATGCCTATATGCTTATAGTCCTAGTCCTGGCTTTGGAATAAAGTACGTCCTTACAATTTACCGAATTAAAGCCTGATGACATTCAGTGGCGGATCCACGGGAGGGGTAAAGGGGGTAATTACCCCCCCAGAGAGGCGCAAAAAAAATTTAATCATCAAAAAAACACATAAATTATTTTTTGGAGGCTTAAAATGCGTTTTGGGCGTGGCACCAGAAAAAAATTTCTGCCTCCGGCTTCCCCTACTTGGTCCTACTTTGGGTGTGAACCCCTTCAAGTATAGACTACGAGTTGTTAATGGTTGAGAGGCTCTACCCTCCCACCCAGGATGGTGCTCTAGATCCGCCACTGATGACATTTTTACAACAAATTTACAATGAAAACATACACCAAGTGCAAAATTTATAATGAATTGCCCTTCAACATCAAATATGCATCCGATGCTTCTAACTTTTTTAACAAGTCGTTATTTAAGATATTTATGTATGGAAGAAATTGTACAGAGCAAGCATTAAATTCAAACTTACACTTATTTAGCTGAATGCTTCACTCCTTTGAAATTTGGCGTTGCATGTCGCATTTAAAATTTTACTCATTTGAGTGCGTTAATATGTGTCTGTCAAACCTGATTTTCCGTGTAAATTTTGCTCTACAAGTGTCACATTCAAAATAATAAATATCTATTAGTTGGTGATTCTTCAATTCGCTTTTTAGTTTAAATTTTGCTTTGCAAGTGTCACATAATAACCCAACCTATACCTAATTAGTCTTCTAGTCTTATATGGCTGCCTATGGTTTATGGATCGCTTTATAATCGTCGACCCTTTTTTGCCTTTTCCTATGCTATCTAAGGAAAAGGAAACAGGTAAAAGGTAAATATACTCTGCAATATCTTAGGGCATTTTGTTTGACAATAAAACTGAATATAAAGTCTCTTATATGTTCTTAGTTCAAGGATATAAATAATGGATATTCGAGATGATAAAAATATTCAACTCATTGCTAAACTTTATAAAAGGAAAATTTCAATATTCCATTAAAGCCAAAGGTGGAAAAGCATTTGCAAAATATTCTAAAGGGGGACATTATAGAGCAAGTCAGCATTCAAAGTGCCCATTTTAGAAGAAAATGGAAATAGCTACACATTCGAATCTAAAATCTCGGAAAACTCGCGATACTATACAACGTACTTTTATAACAATGAGTGCCCTTATTGACGTCGCTAGACCATGAAATCCTGGAATTTTTATGTAAACTTCAAGTGTGTAAGCCGCATTTTGATATCTTGCCCCATTTTGAAGTTAATGTTAAAAATCCATCATACATCTAATTTCTAATTATTATTCACCGCGTCTTTTTTTATCAAAACACAATACTGGAGGAAATTTTTCAATAATTTTATTTGTTTTTCATCAGTATAATGAACTTTACCAAAGTTTACTAAAGCCAATATTCGAATATTCCAATTACTTCAATTTCGCTGTTGTGCACATACTTGTATCTAATTTATTTTTACACTAATTACACGGTTCCAAGTAAACTGGAAAAATCCTTAATTAGTTCCATGTTAAATAGTGTTATGGGTTTTGACTTGTAAACTACAGCCCATAAATCCTGCCTGTGTGTGCACATTCAACCCATAATATCTCTACCTGCTGGGTCGTTTTAATTAATTATTTGTCCTCTGCAATGGTCTCGAACAAAAAAAAGAATGGCTCCTTTGAAAAATAAAGGTGTGGTGATATCGTGTCAAGTTTTATTCATTTATTTTAATATGTATTCTCAAGCGATTTATTATTAATTTCAGTGTATGGATATTATACGTTTATACACATAAGCACAGGTTAACATGCACTACCTATTCAGGTTTTTGAACATGAGGGGTAATGGGGCTTTTTTAGTGACTGAAGGCCAAGCTTTAATGTTGCTTCAGCACGTATTTTGTATTTTATAGTTTTATTTTTTTGTTGATAAAATGGTTACCTACCTGTTCAAGAAATGGTGAAAATAATGGCGAAATGACCTCAGATAAAATAAAAATATAGGCGTTTTACTAGTCTAGTGGAGAATTATCTAGAAAATTAGAGGCTTGGAATGGTATATAAGCGGCTCTCAACGCGGATGGAAAAGTGTTTTGAATTGGACAGTAAAGCGATCAGATTTAGTGATATATATTTGGAAACTTTGAAAAATAGCAATGGGATTTATTTTGGAAATCTTTCCATAAAGTATATCATAAATTATTAAAGTTCAACTGGGGTTAGCAATTCTTCCCCAGCCAACGCTCTAAGAATATTTCGAGCAGTTAATTCGGCCATGGCATCTCGTGTGTTTTTAGTTGCACTGCCAAGATGTGGAGTCAAGACTGAAAGAACAAAATTACAATAGAGCCTTCCCAGAAACATTTTCAAAAACTCACCAACATTCGGTAGATTCAGCAATTCGCTGTCGGTATTTAGAGGTTCCGGATACATGACATCGAGACCTGCAGCGAAAATTTGGCCTTCCTTCAATGCTTTTATTAGGGCTTGTTGATCGACCAACAATCCTCGACTAACGTTAACTAAAATTCCAGTTTTTTTCATTTTTCCAAAAAAATCAGTGTTGCACATGTGATGCGTGTCATTAGTCAATGGCGCCGCGAGAAAAATAAAATCGCTCTCCTTGGTTAATTTGTCCAAATTTACAAATTCAGCACCAATTTTTTTACCTATACAAAAATGTTTTTGACATCTGGCTTTATTTTCTAGCTTAAGTACCTTCAGCTTTTTCCCTATTTCCAGTATACAAAATTTTAGCCACATCAAATCCTATCAGTCTTTTGGCTATGGTTTGCCCTATACCACCCAATCCTATTATTCCTATAGTGGATCCGCGAATATCTTGCCCCAACATCCAATGGCTATTGAAATAGTTTATCCACGTGCCCCTGAAATATTAATTTATTGCCTATGATGATCGATAATTATTTGATTACTGTTCAATATGTCGTCGTCCCTCAGTAAATCTCTTACTAGCTGTCAAGGCTAATAGCATAGCTATATCAGCTACAGAATCATTTACAAGTCCGGGTGTATTCGATAGTTTGATTCCACGTGCTTTGAGTTCCTCGGTGACTATCTGATCGTAGCCAGCGGACATTGTAGACACGACTTTTAGTTTGGGGCCTAAAAATTCAATCAAGTAAACATATTTAAAAAAAAAAAGAGAATGTGCCTCACCTGCTGCGTCAAGTATTTCTTTGTCCACAAGATTCTTTGTGGCCCAAAATAAGCCATCTATACCATTTGTCGCTTTCAAATCTTTTAGAATTGATGCACGGTCGTATGATGAAGCCGTTACAACATCACACCTATAACGTTATTGATGTAACGAAGTTGATGGAGCTGTATTCAATGAATCAATAGTTATTCATACATTATTAAGTGAGTTTAATGAATGTTTACTCATGAACAGAAAGTTTCTGCGAATCAATATACATATATTTTAACTCACGTGATTCGAAATTTTATCCCATTTTGATGGAAATTCAAAAAATAAAGTAACCAGAGAGACAGGTTCACAATAATTATGTTACATGCCCTCTCTAAAGTTAGAACAATATTTTCAAATAAATATAAACATAGAATAGCAAAATAATTCAAAACTTCATTACTATCTGTCGATTTTAATCTGATACTCCAAAGGAATGTGAGCTGGTAGCTCCCTACGTTAGAACGCCAATGGACACCTGACGTCACACCTATTTCTGCCATATACTTCACCCCTTCGCTCCTCAAACGGAAAGTGTCAAATTAAAAACGACGGACACGGACAATAGGTAGGTGCTGTAGGTTCGGATCCTGCAGTGCCACTGCAAGGCCGGAGTAGGTATATAAACTACTCATAGCATGCTCTCCATTAAAAAATAAAACAAGGTTCAGGAAAAACACAAAATCATAAAATCTTAAACAAACTAACTTTTTTTTTTAAAGATAATTCCCCAAGTCAAAAATTTAGTAACTATGTTGGCAACACAAGCCTTTTCTACATAAAAAATTTGAAGCATTGACAATTTTACATTGTATTGCCAACATAATGTCAGTTTGACTTTTATCTTAAAAAAAAAAAACAGATTTTATTTGCAATCATATATGTAATCTTGTCATTACTGACTTTTTAAAAATTTTGAAGTGGCACTTTACCTGTATCACTTCCCTCTTCGATTTCCCTCACCGATTTCCCTATTCGACTTCCCTCACCGATTTCCCTCACTCTAATTTATTTACCTTTGCTGGCAACAATGAGAACATGTCAGGTAAAAACGTCAAAGCAGTGAATGACACATTTTGGCATGTTTGTTTTATTTTTTTAATATTAAAAAAATTGATTGACTAATCATAATTAATGGTGTGCTTACAAATAAAATAGTATACAAGCCACGGAGAAAAGTTTTCATTTCTGTCTCGAGATTAATAGTCAATCTCGACAGTAATGAAACACTTCCCTGCTCGGTATGTAATATACTATTACCTAATCGTAAAAACAGTATGAATCTGAATATTATGGTCACGGGTCTTGGGGTGCGTGACAGAAATTTTGGGTGCGTTTATCCCAAAATCAAAGCCCAATTAACACAACAATAATTTATTTCACGTTACTAAAGTGCGACAACTGAGTGAACCTTGGCAACGTATGAAGTAGCAGAGGGAAAGACGAAAACCTATACTATATACGACGCGACGGGTCCCCGATGTGGTGCATTGCGAAAATTGCGGTTACCCTGAGGGTTTTGCCCGCATTCTTTCCAAACAGGTTCATTCAGTTGTCGCACTTTACACTCTGTGACACTAATTACTTCACTAATTAACTCAATCAACTCAATTCTTCACAACTCTTACAAAATTCACTATCTAAATCGTATCACAGTCAATCTTAAACTTAAAAACTACTAACTAATACCGGCCTCTATATATCCGTAATCTATTCTTGCAAAATCCAGAATAAACGCGATAGACCTTTTTCCCGAAGAGCTTCGTCTTCTATTTTTGCTTGTTGTCTCGTAATAGATGCCTATTACAGAATGTTCTAAAATTTCTTCAAGTACCTATCTTTCCTGGTCTTCGCTCTCAAAGACGCCGGTGAAGTCACAAATTGGATAATTTGCTTTATTCTCGAATAGAATGTTCTAAAATTTTCTTGAAATGTCTTTTCTGAATGTCCATTGATATAGCAAACACGCCGGTGAAGTCACAAATTCAATATCTCCCTTGGTTTCCAAATAGAATGTTTTATACCATTTCCAAATCCAAGCGGCATTAAATGACATTAAATAACCTAAATTAGTAAATTGTCAAAAACCCCAGCCTTCCTATTGGTTGAAACGTCCTACCTGGACCTGTGCGCATGCACGGAGGACATTTGATAGGTTGTAATGAAAATGACCAGTTTATCATTTACTGCCGCTTGAATTTGGTTTAACCATAGAATTTTCCCGAAATTCGGCGAAGACGGAAATTCGATATCTCCCATGGTTTCCAAATAGAATTTCCTAGAACCGAGCCTAGAACTTACTTGAAAATTGACTATCAGAGACAAAATCGGGTATACAGTCACTTCCGGAGTAATTTACACAATTGGTTGTTTTTTTTTTCGGTGATTGTCACTGCTTACACTGACTAACTGTCCCAGTGTTCATAATAGTGTCCACACTAGAGTCCGCGCACTATTCTGCAATCCGATTTCACTCTGCAGTCCTCGAAATTATTTATATCTCACTTCTGACACCAATGTCACACGGGTCTTGGGGTGCGTGACAGAAATCTTGGGTTCGCACAACAATAATTTATTCCACGGTACTACACACTCTGACACTAATTAATTCACTAACTAACTTCAAACAACTTAACTCTTTACAACTCTTATAAAATTGGAAAACTAGTCCATTTTATAAAATTCAATATCTAAATCGTGTCACAGTCAATCTTAAACTTAAAAACTACTAACTAATACCGGTCTTTATATATCCGTACCTAATCCTATTCTTGCAAAATCTAGAATAAACGCGATAGACCTTTTTCCCGAAGAGCACTGTAAAAATTTAGAATTCTTCTATCCGATTCCGTAACTTCTGGCGGAGGCGCACGTAAATTCTATTACATTATCTTCAACACAAAATGATTTGGACTCCAATCTTTATCTAGAACAGTAGAACATTATCTTTGTGGGTTCTACATTTGAGCTTCAATCTGGAAATACTTTTGGGTTCAGATTCTAAAAACTCAAGTAGTATGGATGATGCAGTATCTTCACCAACTAAAAGACTATCTACCCTACCCATTGAGTATTGAGTCGGATATTTAACTTTTTCAATCATATTGTTGCTGAAGAATAACTAAAGTTCTCAATGGTATTTTACGCTGAGCTTGTAGATCCTATTCACAATCCGTAGTCCAAAGGTAAAGGTAAATTTATCACCTTCCCCTATCAAATAGCACTGAAAGGTGATACATTTTACCTTTACCTTTGGACATCGGATTGTGAATAGATAATTAATCAGGCCTATGATGTATCATATTCTGTTATTTTAACGTGAAGTTGTCTGTCACTGTTCATGATATACGTCAAAATGGAGAAGGATATAGATGTTGAGCTATAATATAGCTGTTAAAATAACAGGGGAGGATACATCATAGGCCTGATTATAACAGGATTTTTAGGGCGGGTATCTATTTCAATCTCACCTTAAAATCAAGACTTACCTATAAGGTATACCCTTAACGTTAAGGGGTTAGGATGAACTTGAAATCAGTTTAAATGTGGCTAATGGTGTTTCCGATTGGTAGATTCAGTGCGCACTGAGTGTATTTGCGTCCTTTTATTCGACCTGTAGAAGAAAAAGACAGAAATAGAAAAAATTGCACTAGTTCCGCACTAGATCTACCAATCGGAAACGCCATAAGATTCACCTCGAATTATGGGAACTTTGATATTTTTTTTAAATGTTTATATTGTTTTTTTAATAACTATTTGGAAGTACCCAGTCGTTCTAGTGACCTAACAGGCCTATTCGGGTTTGAAATAAGGACGGTTCTAGAACGGTTCAAAACAATCGTCCAGTTTATTGATCAACAAAATAACAACGACTCGACTATCACAAATTTCAATAATAAACTGTGCGATTCTTCTGGACCGTTCTAGAACCGTACTTTTTCCAAACCCGAATAGGCCTAATGTATGTCGCTTCTTGAACACACAAATATAATTATTAAGGTTAGGAATTTCCTATTTGTACATGAAACTGAAGTATACCGGGTGCCCACGAGATCACTTTCCGGCTGCCATTTTTTTATTTATCTATCGATATCAACGAAACTTGGTAGGGTTGATATTCTAACCAAACGCCATTTTTATGCATTTATGACAAGTTTTCCTGACTTCCGGTTTCACCGGAAATTACCGGAACTTTTGATTTTTAAATGGCACACCCTGTATATTTTTTGTTTTTCGGATTCTACAGATTGTTTTACGTCCAAGGCTGTAAACTTCATTATTTTAGTATGTTTGCCCTAGCTCAAAAACTAGAAAAGCAACATATCACTTTCACAACATCACTAAATGCAGTATTTCAAGGCGAATCCAACGATATAATACACTACGACATTTTTCCTAATTTTCGTTTAAATATTTTTGATTTATTATGTAGGTAATTTATTTTTTTTCTACTTAAAATTTAATTTGAAATCGAAATTTGGACAAAACTCGATTTAAAAGTGGTACACTAGGTCGTGAAACTATCTGTAGAATAGAAAAAACAAAAAATATACAGGGTGTGTCATTTGAAAATCAAAAGTTTCGGTAATTTCCGGTAAAACCGGAAGTTAGGAAAACTTGTCGTGGATGCACAAAAATGGCGTTTCGTTAGAATATCAAGCCTACCAAGTTTCGTTGATATCGATGGACAAATAAAAAAATGGCAGCCGGAAAGTAATCTCGGGGGCACCCGGTATATACGTGAAATGCCTCATAAACTTGTCTGGTTTTTGATAAAATTCCAACTCTATTAATTCGGGAAAATATGCCAAACTTTGGGACAATCTTCAATACCAGGACCAAGAAGAGGTTGACTGTTAGAATCTACTAGGTACTACAAGCTTAACATTATGTTTTAATTGACAGGTTCTAAGCTAAAGTCACCATAAGTGGGCATTCACACCAAAGCGACTTGCTGCTAGGAAGCAGTAGGAAGCACGAAAACTAAAGACTGTTTTTTTTTTTTTAAGATAAAAGTCAAAATGACATTATGTTGGCAATACAATGTAAAATTGTCAATGCTTGCAAATTTTTTATGTAGAAAAGGCTTGTGTTGCCAAC